ACTCACATTGTCAAAATCACTGAAAGACTGAATCTGTTTAATGTTAGATAGTTTATAGTTCTGACCACTCATAGTTCTATAATCTTGTATAACATAAATATTTGTTACTTTGTCTTGTGTTTTCTGCCCTCTTAACCAACTGACCTATAAATCTGTCCTCAGAAGGAGATTAGTTTCTCTGTAAGTTAGTCTGTAAATTATAGTTTTTACAGTAAAGATTTATAATCATAAAAATTGTTGTAGCCTAATTCTATAAGGAGGGACACAAATCTCTGGTTCTTGCCCCAAACCAGCTTTATAAATGTCAAACATATGGGGGCTAATGAAAGCCAAAAGGGGCCAGCTCGTACATCCATCCATCCCTAGTGTCAGTCTCCTGACAGTCTGTGGCTAATCCTCTTTTCATGGTCTTCATTACGACCTGTCAGGACATAAATTGACAGTAAATTGCCTTGTTTATTAACAAGGCCTCAAACAGCATCCTTAAACAGCACCCTGTGCCCTCACTACCTCCCCCTCTTTAACAGTGACCAAGAGGATCAATTAAGACGCAACAGAAAATGAGGCTGAGCCTGAACAATTCCCTGTTTCACTTTCGCACTGACATTCACACACCCACAAGCCCCCACACATCCACAATCCAGTTTTAATGTGACTCCTAAAACATTATGTCTTCTGTTGATGACCCCCTTTCAAGACCTATTCAGACAGATATACTTGCTTGCCTCACATTTGAAGCCAGGCCATGCTTGACGGAGCACCACATCAACTTGACTCAGAGGCTTGGCTGCGGCCTTTGCCATATAACACAGTAATTACTAGATCAAATCTGTTCAAACTGGAGAAACGCTGTTCTGTGATCCCTCCTATACCAATCAGCACACCGAGGTATGGCCGCCCAACTATAAATTGCCAACTTAATTAAAACCAGGACCTCTCTGTCATCTAATTACAGGGAGAAAAGGTTATTGCTTCAATGCAATTTTCCAAATATGATTCCTTCACAGTTATTAAAGGCTGCAGCGTCGTTTATTGTTTCAGATTTTTCAATATGGAAATGGCCCCAGTGACAGATGTAATGACTCGGGGAAAACGCTTCATTTTGATAGTGGCCCCGCACAGCCATTTGTGAAAGATAAGTGGACCGGGCAGCAGCAGGGAAATGTCACCAGAGGCGTCCCATGATTGCCTCCACTTTACAGTTGTCATTAAACAGAGCAAAGGTTCCTATTCTCCTATATGGCAGCGATGAGAAGTTTATTAATCTGTCCTCAATAGTTGAGCATGTGAGTTATTACAACTATGGAAAAAAAATAGGAAAGGAAAAATAGTGGGAGTAGGGCCTGTGACACTGTTCTGCATTGTTCTGTTACATTTACATCTTATTCTCCCAATTTGTTCTTCTTTTTTTTCTTTTTTCTTTTATATATTATTTTGGTGGTTGGTAAAGAGAATAAAATGAACTCTTTAATGGTGTGTAGCATTAGGCTAAGCCTTTGTTTTTAGTCCTTTTGGTCCTTGTTTCTTTAAAATGAACAATTGCCTTACAAATACATTAGCTGCATTACAAATAAATTAGCCCTGACTTATTGTGCATGTTTTGGGTTACATTCACATTTTAGGTATAGCCTGTACCACAAACTTAAAAATGTATTTTATTCCACTGTTACAGAGACAAAGGGCATCAAGAGGCCACATCTGAGTAGCATACACTGTGGACACTAATACTGTGTGTCTCCCACCATAGGGTTTTCTTAATTACATTAAACAAATGCAGTCTCTTGTGGGTGTGTAATGTCATGGTTAACAGAACACCCCAGGAGATGCCCACCCCCCACTTTTGAAATATTCATGTTGAATGCCACTCTGTCTCAGGCTGGCTCATTCGCCAAATGTTCCTGTATATATATATATATATATGTGTATATATATATATATATATATATATATAGAGAGAGAGAGAGAGAGAGACTGCATTTGTTATATGTATATATTCCTACTACTACTATTCCACATTTTTTATTTATTATTTTATTAGATTTTTTTCCAAAAAAGAATATATTCCACCATTACTGTAACAAAAATCTTAAGTATAAATTACATAATTTCTGCACAACACACTGATTCAATTTGACCTGGCAGGACTCATTTAAATACATTAACAATTCATTAATTAAATAAAGAGGCTAGTTAGCCCCAGGGCCTCTTTATAATCATAAACTGGGGTGTACTATTTATGCAAAGCAGCAAAGTGCCATGTGCTGGCTTATTATGCTAATGATGAATGGCAAAATACATGTTTCCCCTATGACGGAGGATTAGGCATGGCAGTGTCAGCAAGTAGTTTCCAGGGTACAGAGTCTGCTGCTTCCTATTACAGCCTGTTGAGATGAATCTGAGTAATGTGATTCTTTAAGTCCTCATATAGTTATGATCCCTGGCCTGCCCCTCACATATGAATTCCTGTGCATTGCAGAAAACATGTCATGCGGAGTTTGTAAAAGAGGCCACCTCCACATTCCCACAAAAAACTAATTTTAGAGTTAGTCATTGCTTCCTGCAGCGGTAGGCTGTAGTCCAAATTGGCTACCACTGACTGGGGGTTAAGAGGAAATTGTCCATATGTGTATCTGCTATAGATATTTATAATTCCTCAGCCATCCAGGTAGGTTACACTGCAGAAGACAATTTGCACAGTTGACAGACTTTAATTTTCTTTTGGCTCATTCACTCCTAAAATTATAGCCATGGCATGAAATAAAAGTTATTGTTAACATTGTTATTGTGTTCGCTCATCATAGCTTGGGGCGGCAGTAGCTCAGTTGGTTGGCGGTTCGATTCCAGCTCTCAACATAAACATCACAGGTTGAGCGGTCAGATCCACTGACCCACAGGTTGGCTGGTGTGATTCCAGCTCCCACAGATGAATGCTGTCGTCGTGTCCTTGGGCAAGACACTTAACCCACCTTGCCCACAGTGTGTGCATACACTGGTGTGTGAATGTGTGTGTGAATGGGTGAATGGTTCCTTGTTGTAAAGTGCTTTGAGTGCCTTGAAGGTGGAAAAGCGCTATAGAAAAATGTGGCCATTTACCATAGCTCACTTACATGTATTTCACTTGATTCATGCATGTTTGAGCAATCCTGCATTGTCCTACATTACAGGCTTGAGAGCTCATAAAAGTTCTGCTTTCACCTATACTCTATCCCTACCCACTTCTTTGTACTTGTGATTGTAGAAAGTCAAATCAATTCAAACTCCAAATAGGGTTCATAAATGTTTATCAAAAATCAAAAATATGTCAAAAATATCACACAGACATTTTTCAAGCATAAATATGAAAATATCACCATTAAGGTAGCGCTATCAAGGTAGCGCTGCTAAGGTAGCGCCACTATGATAACGCCACTATGGCAGCACCTCTATAGTAACACAACGTAATGTAGTTATGGTAATCGTTGCTATGGTAATAGTAGCGTCACTAAGGTAGCGTCATTAAGGTAGCATCACTAAGATAGCATCACTAAAGTAGCATCACTCTGGTAGCGCAACAACGGTAACGCCACTAGGGTAGTGCAATGCAACGTAGTTATGGTAATAGTTGCTATGGTAACAGTTGTTATGGTAACGGTTGCTATGGTAACAGTCACTATTACAACAGTCCCTATGGTAGCATCACTAAGGTAGCGTCACCAAGGCAACCATTACCATAACTATATTACGGTAATGGTTGCTATGTTAACAGTTGCTAAGGTAACAGTTGTTATGGTAATGGTTGCTATGGTAACACTTGTTATGGTCACAGTTGCCATGATAACATTCACTAAGATAAGGTAAGGTAAGGTAAAGTAGGTAGATAAGGCACTATGATTTATGTTAATTTATTAAATATGGGACAGTGCACATTGATCAGCATGTGCTAGTACAGCATGTAAATGTGCCAGAGTTACCCATGCAGGCTAATTTTCATCCGTAGTCCAAATGGCAGATTGATGGCAAGACAAAAAACAGGATATAGGCACAATAACATTCAGTCCATCACACATGACAAAGACATTAAGATCAGTGAATATTACTGCAGTCAATAGTAAAATTAGAGCATGCTAAAAGCACACACAGCACATACATTAAAGACAATATAGACACAAATCACAGTCATACAAGATAGAGACATTGCTATGCGAAGTTAAAACACATACAGATTAGATGTTCACATGTCTGATTGTCCAGAAGTCATTGTTTCGCAGATCTAAAGAGGTCATGTTCCTTATTTCTGTGGGGACTAGATTCTTGAGGAAGGCTGAGGATTTTACTCTCCTCTGCTCGATTCTCAAGTGTTTGTGTTCAACTGTATGACCTCTTTTAATGGGGGTGGAGCAAGATCATGGTGAGTTTTATAGACCAGAATTATATCTGAATAAATAATTACGTTATCCCAATTTAAAAATGTACATAGTCAATATTTTACAGTGATGATACGAGTTTGATTTTTGATGTAATGTTTCAGAGTCTGCTTGTAGATTCTTATAAGCAGCAATGTGGTCTTGTTTGCCTGACTCCAGTTTCTTATTCTAAAGCATTTTGAATTACTTTGTATACCAATCGCGCTATACAAATAAACTTGCCGTGACTAGGTATGAGTCAATGCAAGTGACATGTTGAAACTGATCTTTGGGTTTGGAATCTTGGATTACAGCAGTGCAGGCTTTTCGGTAGTGCATTTACTCTGATGGGCTACATTATACACTGGAAAGTAGGCTACATACATAGGCTACATACACGGTGGCCCGTGCGAAAGTCAATAAGATTTCGCATTTGCCTTGGTCTGTAATAAGTGTTTGTTTCTATTTTTACATGCACCCATTCTCTCTCATATGTGCCCCCAGTTGCAACGTGGCGCCTGAAAACCTTCTATACTTGTCGACCTCCCGTTAACCAATAATGGGGATTCTGGCAAGAGACGAGGCTGGGCTAAATCTCCAACTGAGGACGTGATTGGCTGCGTAAGCGTTACGCAAAGCCGTCAGGAAATACCGACTTGGCTACATCCCTCTCTTAGGAAAAGGGATAGTATAGACTACTACCCCAAATCATTTGTGAGCTGTAGAGGTGTTTTCATGCGTTTGTGACTACGGGCACAGGTGCTGGTGCTTGGCTTTGGGGGTTGGAGCTGCCGCTAGGCCCGCTACTTTGTTTCAAAGGGGCAGTAAGTGCGTTGCAGGTAAAGTGGGAAAGGGACTGTTAGCTTTTTCTAATAGCTTCTGGTTCATTGGAGTGCAGGCCAACTTAGATCCAGCCTCGACCTCAGAACACCTCAGCCCATCTCATGGACGTCTTCACCTGCGCTTTAGCTGTGCTTTTATGCACTATTGTGAGTGGGAAGCCCATGGTACGAAAAGAAAGAGTCATTCACGACCCAGAGACTATGAGACAAGCCCACGAAGATAATAAAAGCTTCCAGTTCGACCACGAGGCATTTCTGGGCAAAGATGAAGCTAAAACATTTGACCAACTCACACCAGAGGAGAGCAAAGACAGGCTTAGGTAAGAGGCACTGTCGCCGTCGTCATTATTTGGTTTAAAGTGGGGGCAGAGCACATCCCATCCTCTCTCATGTTGTATGCTAAAACATAAAAAATGAACACTGCGTGAGAAAGATCTGCATGCGAGCAAAAGTAAATTCCATTATTTTAGTGAAAGCACTTTACGCGCCCTTCTTTCGTTACACATGGGCTTAATTCTACATCAATATTAAAATATAAACAAATATAGTTGGTTAGGTCTGAAGTGAAGTCTGTGGGAGACGGGGGGTAGTAATCCAAGGACAGACCCAAACTTTATATTGTCCTAGGCCCTACTGCTTTCGAGAGATCGGTGATGAGATGGCACTATCTGTCACTTGTTGGGTTTGCAGTGGGTGGATCCCTGTAACATCCCAACGTGGCAGCCCACGTCTAAGAATACATTTCACCTCCCCGCGTTTTTACTGAATTATGGTGCCGTTTTTGGTGGTGAACAAGTAACATCTGCTTTGCAGTTGCTCTTTAAATATCTGTGTAACTGGACAAACGTTTTTAGAGTGAAGATGTCCAGCTGACAGAATTCAACGTCTCTTTTGCTATATGATCTTTACATAGGTGAACACATATTTTTACAGCATTCCATGTTTGTAACATCCACAGAAATACCTTGATTTTAACCTTATTCTTGATATGTATCATCATATTTTAGGCTTTATGTGTGCACATTGAAATAGAATAGGTTATATGAAAGCTACTCATCCCAAAGTAACCAAGGCTATTGATGTGTGGTGTTTTAAAAAAAAAAAATCTAAATCAAAAACCCAAGGGTTGTGTCCTTTTATATTTTCAGTAAAATTGTGGACCGTATTGACCTGGATGCAGATGGCCTTATAACTACTACTGAACTGAAGGCATGGATAAAACGTGCCCAAAAACGCTACGTGTATGAAAATGTGGCAAAGGTCTGGACTGACTATGACCTCAACAAAGACAACAAAATTTCATGGGATGAGTACAAACAAGCAACCTATGGGTATTACCTTGGTAAGTATTTTTGGGCATTAAATGGTGCAAGTAGCCTTCCTCTAATATAAGAAACTTCTTATTATCAAATTAGCCAATCCTGAAGAGTTTCAGGATGCAAGTGATCAGTTCAACTTTAAGAAGATGCTACCTCGTGATGAAAGAAGATTTAAGACTGTTGATCTGAACAATGACAATGTGGCGGATAAAGAGGAGTTCACAGCCTTTCTTCACCCAGAGGAATTTGACCACATGAAAGATATTGTGGTTCTGGTAAGTCCTATTAAACCACCTAGTCACTAGACTTGCCATCTTCAGTCTGGCAACAAGAAATTAAAATGCCTCTGAGATATGACCATGTCTCTGTTTTTTCAAATTTTTTATTAGGGCCTAAAAGTACTTGATTTGGGTTATTTTATGCATAAGATGGCCAAAGCTGGTCCTTTAAAGCTCAGTCTTAATATATAAAATTTGCACTATCCAGTGATTGCGTGGCAAATATCTGCAGCATGCTGTGTGCTTCTGTGTTCATAAAACTTGTACTACCCATTTGGCAGAGTTAATTATTGATCTCTCATTTTAATTGCATCGGTGTCACACAATGTTGTGGACTTGTACAGGGACTCTGGCCTATGGATCACGAGATTATTTCAAGATATATATTTAGAATTATGACACATATTTTAGTGGTTACAGAGTTATTTTGGGTGATCCTGGCCTTGAGGACCCCTATGGGTCCAGTGGGCGAAGCTATATTGGTTCTTGTTGATCAGTCAGTTTCCCAAAAAACAGTGCTTGAAATAAATGGTTTACAGTAAATCAAACAGCCAACCGTGGGAGTAGACAGCTTATTTTTAGTAATACTAGTAGTGTTTAGCCCTTGTTAAAATAAAATTATAACATTCAATTGTGATTTGAGATTTTTTTTTGATAATTGCAAAGTTGCAAATGCAAGGATGCGCACAGTGCCATAATTGGGCTCTGTGTGGCAGCTGTAAGATTAACCTAATGCCATTTCCACACATTACTCTGTGTGACATGTTTCATGTACTGTATGTACAGTACGGTAGAGGTCAGCCTTTTGTTGACCTTATAATGACATAATTAACTTGTTTTGAATGCAGGAAACCCTGGAAGATATTGACAGAAATGGTGATGGACATGTTGATGAGGACGAGTACATTGGTGAGTTCAGATCTCACCTCAAATCTGATTTGAAGAGTTAAGTGATCAACATTAACCTTTTCTACTGTTATATTCACTTCAGCGGATATGTTTGCTCATGAGGAAGGCGGCCCTGAGCCAGACTGGGTCAAAACTGAGCGGGAGCAGTTTTCTGACTTCAGAGATTTGAACAAAGATGGGAAAATGGACCTGGATGAAATTCGGCACTGGATCATGCCTCAAGACTATGACCACGCTCTGGCTGAAGCCAGGCATTTGGTCCATGAGTCAGACCAGGATAAGGTTAGACAAAGTTATGTCTATAATGGGATACAGAGTAAATCATGGTTTATCAGCTTGTAAAAAACACATATATGCTGCTGGAATTTGGGTTTGTAATTACCAGAAAATAATTTTGCTTTCATACTTCTTAGGATCAAAAGTTGACTAGGGAAGAAATCCTTGAAAACTGGAACATGTTTGTGGGAAGCCAAGCTACCAACTATGGAGAGGACCTCACCAGGAACCATGATGAGCTTTGAGAGGAAACGACTATTTGAAATCTCTTTGCCAACCACCATCACCCTCCTCCATGAGGACAGAATTACACTGTGACTCTGAGTGAGAGGGGTTCTGGCCCGGTCCTTCTACTAAACTAAGGCTGCCATTATAGATCATGTTTCTGACATTCAGGGAATGAACTGGTCCTAATGGACACGTTTATCAACAGTGATGCCTTTAGTGGCATCTCTGAGATGTGTAGATGGAGTTTTAGAATTAATGTGAAACTGCAGCTCCAACAATGACTTTTTATTTATTTATAAGAGGTATTGGGGAAATGTTACTGTTCACCAATGGTTTCTCAAAGGCGTTGGCATTTTTTACTTCTTTTTCTTGTCAAATTATATCTGCGTTTTATTATTATGATTTTATGATTTGGTTCTTTTAGAACCTGTGAACTTTTCTTTTCCTTGGTGTTTAAAATATGAATTTACAGAAGCCTGCCTATATTACATGTGATGTTTACTTTGCAGCTATAGTAGAACTCTTACACTTTTTATTTGTGTTAACTTAAATACTAGAATACTACCCTCTTATATTATAACATTGAGTGTGTGAGTCTTTGAAATTTTAGATTAAATTAGTTTGTTGTTCTTACACCGTCTGCAAATTCTATTTCAAAATCAAAATTTTGCTTATTGTTAATGTTTACAGGACTGTCTTAAAGCTCTCCACTAAAGTTGTTATTCATTCACTCCACACTTAGTGTTGGCTTTGAATTGGTGGACGAGTGCTCTAAACACTGAGGCAGTGTTACCCCCTTAGTTTGATCAAAAGTAAAGGTACAAGGGTTTAGACAGAAAATATTCATAAGAGCTGAAAAAGTGTGGTCTATATTAATTGTCATCAGGTTACACAAATCTTCTCTGCCCTTGAATGATGCATGCCTCACTGTCCAGAATGAACAGAGATGGAGCTGGGAGGACTTCCCTTTGCTGCTGGCAGTGGTTGCAGGACTCTTACATGTAACTGAGAAAGTCGTTCTGCCACCCAGCCTGTCCCTTGTGTCTGCTCATGCAGAACATATGGATATATGTGTGCCAGTTAGCAAGGGAAGTCAAGCAAGACCAATGCAATGAAACTCATTAGAAGAAGTATGAGACAGACCTATGAATGTGTGGAATGTGTTATACTTCAGTTTTGTAATATCAATATAATGTCAGACAGCCACAGAAAGTTTGTGTGTGTGAAATTATTTTTAAAGGTTGCCGTCATTGGTGCTAAACAAGAACAAAACATTTATCAACATTCAACATTAACTTCAAACTCAAATAAAGAGAGGGAAATATTAACATGAGTAATAAAACAATACTTCAATCTATGTTTCTGGCAATATTTATGTCTACTTTCTATTGAATAATATTTAATGATTATATTTAACAATTTTGCTTTCCAAAGCAGCAGAATAGAGAAAATCTTCTCTGGCATGTGTCAGGTTACATCTTAATGTATGCAAACAATGTATGGCTGAGGTGAACATGGACTATGCATATTCAGGATGTAAATGAACTAATATGTGTGTTTGCTTGTGTGAGGTTTGTGCTCTTGGTCTGTCTAAAATTTGCCTGGCGGTCATGTTTAACAGCCGGGCCCTGGCGCTCCTGATGGCCTCTTAATCATTGGCACTGGGGGAGTGTTTGTATCGTAATGACTACAGACGTCTCTCATATGAGTGTCTGTGGACATCATGTGCTTTGGACTAATAATAATGAGCCCTTTGGGTAAAACACGGGGAGAGAGAGCGGGACTGAGGAGGCTCGTAAAGTGAAGCTTATTGGACGTCAAGTGAAGCTTATTGGACGTCTGAATCGATTAACCCTCCTCCACTATGGAATAATTTCCATTTGTCCAACAACAATCTTCTTTTAAATAGGCTTTTTATAGCACGGTGCCATTTACTCAAAAACAATTAACAGCAAAGCCTGAATGAGTGTTTTAATAAGGTCTAGCTGTCTTTCATGTGCTGTGTTACTGTGATTCTGAGGGGTTGTGGCTGATAGTATTTCAATTATTTCACTCTTTTAAATTTTTTTTTCCAGTTTCATAACAAAATATCAAAGTACAAAATAAATAGTACATATTTTATACAAGTGTATGCAAGTAAGGATGAAAATATTTTTTGTATTTGTGTAGGTACAAAATACCAACTTGCATTTTTTTATTACAAAGTGTCACACTTTTCATATTTACATGACCTACATAAATATAGAAGAAATCACATCTCTTGTAGAATCAGAGAGGAATATGACAATAAAATAAAGTTATTCATAAAATACAAAATTGCTGTCATGTGACTATGTGCTGTACAATGATGCATCAATCTTGTAAACACTCTTGAAAATGAAGGGTCTATGCTGCTGAGATTGTACTTCTATTGATGATAGAAAAAAAAATTTACTTCTGCTCCTCTATCATTATGAGTTTTTGTGTATCTGTCAGAGCTGTGTAGATAAGAAATCGCCCATTAATGGCTACACAATTAGGGACAGGGTTTTAAACTGCCATATATTTTAATTTAGCAACCATAAACCTAGTGAGTTGGTAAGTAAGTGCCCCCAAAGGGTAGGGCCTGGCTGATTCAGATACAATTACTGCCTCACTTATGCATATCTTTGATGATAGATAGAATGTTCATTAAAAGACTACAGTCAAAGAGGCCCACAGAGGACTTATTTTTGGAGTTCATGTTGGCTTGGGACATAGACAGTGCTATCCCAATGAGACTGATTTCTTTGGACAAAACACCTCTCTCGCTCCATTTGGCTGTGGCCCTTTCTCTCTCACCACATCTCAGCATCTGGTTACCTTTGGGATAATGGGCAAGAGGGATTGGGGTGATGCTGAGGCCTTGTTTTATCTCTTTCCTGTCCTGTGTTCCCCAGGGAACTGTGTTGGTTTGTGATCTGACATCTCACATGATAGAAATATGTCTAATCCCATTAGAAATGAACCTCCTCATGTAGAGCAGGAGACAGCAGGAGGGTCTGAGGAAGATGAAAGACGGCCGAGGGCAGAAGCTGTTTAAAGCCTAGTGCATGTTGCTTCTATTCACTACATATGAGTGTGATTGTGTGCTTTCTATGCTCTTGGGACTATAGGATGGCTGCTGCTGCCTTCATGACAGACTCCTCTCAAGGTGTTTTCCCTCAGTCTTTGTGGAGTGTGCTTCCTGAGTGAGAAAGTTTACCCTGTAGGCCCCATCTGAGCTCCAAGCCCCCAAGGCCTGCGCAGTCCCATAGCTGCCCCACACCGGAGCCCCTCCGGCAGCCTCAGACCACAGGGAATACTCCTAAGAACCAGGGCCCTCAGACTGTGGCCCCGCTCAGCTCTACAGCAGAGCAGCCTCAGGGAAGAGGAGCTGTCTGGGAATACCACTAAATGTATGCTTCACTGAACATACAAAGGGGCCTGGCCAGCGCCTCCTGTTGGCACAGCCAGGCTGCTGCGTGCTGCTGGTCTCTTGTAGCCCTGTGAGTTTGGTCTCTGGGGCCCTGACCTTGTTAACAATCCCTGGGGGCTCATTGAGTCCTCAGTGTGCTACATGTGCACTGACCTTTCCAGGTTAAACAATGTCTTATTTGGCCCCAAGATTCACACTATGACATATCCTCATGTCAAATGCACCTGGGCATTCAGGAAATATGGAGTCTGAATAATTTCCATGTAGCCTACTGTGTATTTACTTTCAATTGGCTGATAACTGAAAGTGTCAGTTCTCCACTGACAGTTATCATCATCATCATTTCCAAGTGTTTATATGTATTTATATGACATTCTAATTATAGAACTGCTGAACAGAACCCCTATCCCTAACTCATTCCTCCATCAAAAAACACAACTGTAACTTAAATATACTTTCACTTGTTACAGGTGTCACAATAAAAAGTCTTTATTTTCTATGTGAGTGTGAGGCTGATCGGTCACATTCAGTAGACACACTGCAGGAGCTGCACATGGATCTGGAGACTGCGAAGTAGCAGGCCTGCTGCCCTACAGATGTCTTGGGCTGTGCATTACCAGGTGTACGTCACCTGAGATTACCCACGCTCACACCCCTTAAAGGCACAGAGCCAGCGCTACAGCAGAAGGGGCATCTGGTGGCATGTGCATGGGAGTTTTGTGCATGTTTCTGTGTGTTCATGCATTCAAATTACTGTTAACATTTTACAGAGCGAGCTATTACCCCACATCGGATATTCCTACACTTTTCTGGTATGTTTCTACCAATACTCAAACCATTTCATTACCAGTAGGAACGTAGAACTGATCCATATACGTTGCTTTGATTGTTATTTATCAAGATGGTAGACTTTTCCAACCAAATATAGCAGTCTCTAGTTTAAAAGTGAAGTGTGTGTTCACTGTCCTCTTCTTCTGCTAAGACAGAACTCAATCTTAACTTGATTAATCAAAGTGCACTGGGTTAGGAAGAAGAACATCACAGACTAGCTCAACATTGTTACTACGGAGTGGAACAAACAACTTCAATGGGACGCTCGTGACCCTAGAATACACGAACGGCATTTTAATCTGCCTGGTAGTCCAGCATGGAGGCAGATGCTGACAGAGGAGATACGCCTACAGTAAGGAGATGAATGATGCGTGTGAGATTTTTGCGTGTGAATATAAAGCCCACAGCCAATTAGAAGTACGTGCATGCGTAGTTACCAAGCATTTTGACATATATAAAATCGTTTATTCTACTTGAGTCGAAATGTATACTCATACACCCTGACACCAATCATCTGTCCTAGGTCTCGTTTCAAAACAAGTCATAGGCTGGTAGGGCTTCAACGAAATGTAGGCCTATGTTGTTGAATGTACATTGTTATATATTGTTATCATTATTATTATTATTATTATTATTATTATTATTATTATTATTATTATTATTATTATTATTATTATTATACATTTTTTCCCAAAATAATAGTTTATACAATTCATCAGGCATAAATAAAAAGTGGGCGAGGGACATGGGCTTAAGTGGCTGTGCAAAAAGAACCAAAAGAGAGACAGGTGGTCAAGTCATAGTCTGTTTTTTTTTTTAGGTTTTTTTTTTTAATGTTTGTCTTTGTTTGTTTGTGTCATTTAAGTGTTTTGTGGGCAGTCAGATATTAAATGGACACTCTAAGTGCAGAAGTATAAAGAGCGTTTACGGTTCACATTTAACAATTGAAAACGGTTCAGTGCGCTCAGACTTGGCCCCTCAAACAGGTTGACACTGCCATCCAGTGGTCAAACTATGTAAAACACATCAATGCATTTGAAAGCAAAAATTCATTAATGTTCTTCATGTAGGAACGTTTTTGACATATTTTGACCAATAATTGCTCTCAGAATAAAGAACAAGCCTCGGAGATGCAGGCCTTCCTCTAGGTCAAATCTGTGGCAGGCTTTCATATTTAAAAAAAAAATTTGATCATTAGGCTCAACTTGTGATAGGACATAAACTACCACTCATTGGGAATGAGGAGTGTTTATGTTTCTCGTGTCTTTGGTAACTTTGGAGGGAATGTCTGTTTTCCAAGTCTCTTAAATTCATTCCATTCCAAACCATTCATCCACCCACCACTGTTGTAATTCATCTTTCACAGCATAGACACACCTTTAGAAGAATCATTTTTATGATCTTAGTTATTGTATATAAAATAATGATGGCAAACATTATATACAAAAATTTAAAAAAATACAAAACTGCACATTTTTGTTTCCTAAATCCAGTTTCCAGAGTACAGCACTTTATATGTTATATAACAAAAGAAGAAGCCAGTGCAAGTTACATTACATTGCATTAAATTTTCCTTGTATTTTTTAATCTTTTTGGCTCAGAATGAATGCATCTATTTAAAGTCAAATAACAAAGCAAGTGTCACATTAGGAAAGCTGTCATCTGGCCAACATGAAGGCATCAGCTGCTTTGCCCACTTCAGTAAGTCTGGCATCGCACCATATAAGCGCTGACCAGGCTCCTGCGCTGTTGGTCCCTACCGCTGGCACAGCACATTGTCACCTTCCTCTTCACCCTCCTTTTCTTCATGCCGAGGTTGCTGTGGCTCAGATGGCAGGCTGCAGTTTGCTCAAGTTCCTCTGGTGCATGCTGTGGTGCCGCACCAGCTCATCGGACCGCGCAAACTTCTTCTGACAGTTGGACCAGCGGCAGGTAAAAGGCTTCTCACCTGACAGACAGGGGCAGTGAGAGAGAGGTAATCACTGCTTTAGCCTCTTAAAACAATTAACTTGGATTTAGAGTCAGAATACAAAGGTAGAAAAATAAAGGTATACGCACTTGTTTTACCTGTATGAATCCGAGTGTGTGTCTTAAGGTGGTCTGACCGTGAAAACTTTCTCTGGCAGGTCTCACATTGAAATGGCTTCACACCTACAACAATACAAAAAGTATAGCCTACATGAATACTGTAATAAAAATGGCTAATTTTTATGCAAATTATGTATTTTTACAAACTGTATCACTTCCCAAAGGCTGGGAATATGCTATGATATGTTCATAATATTTTACATATAATATTACTACTCAATATTGGCTATACAGTTGACTATACACATAGTGTATGCCACAGCAATTACCTGTGTGTCTGCGCTGATGTCTTTTTAACTGATCTGATCGAGAGAATCTGCGACCACACTCTGTTAAGTCACACTGGTATGGCTTCTCCCCTGACAAAAAAGTAAAACAAAAAAAAGTTAAATTAATAATGAAGACAGATCAATTTACAGTAAAATTGTTTGCTTGGATAGTCATTGGACATTATACTATATGACTATCAGAATAAAACAGAGACACTCACCTGTATGTTTGCGCCCATGCATTTGCAGATGTGACAGTTTGAAGTATCGTTTGCTACAGCCAGGATAAACACATACAAATGGACGTTTTTCATTTGTAACAGACTTTGGTGTAGATGGGGTGATACTAGGAGCATGGCACACATCCTACATACAAAATTATCAATGTTAAAAAGAATACTAGTCATATACATTATCAAAGTAAACGTTGTCTTCTTCCTAACCTGTAAGCCTCTGAAGACACTGTGTGCGTGTATGTGATATTGGGTGCTGCAGCTCACAAGCATTGGAGGAGGTGGAGGGGCTGGGTCACTCTCAAAACTATTGCCTGGGCCACTGACAAAAAACAAACATACGAAAGAAAAAAAATATTTATGGCACTTAACTGAAAATGTTGCAAAATATATTCAAAGTAGCTTATTTTTTCTTAGTTTTTTTTCCCCCCAAGGTTACAGGTCATGTAAGTGCACTGTTTTAAAAGCTGATAAAAGATGTACCTCTTAATGGAAGAGGTCAGTGTGTTCATCTGGTTCCATGTTACACACTCCAGCTGAGATGCCATTTGGTACAGGTTATCACTGTAAAAACATGTACAAAATGATAATTATTATTAGCATATTATTATAACTAATATAATAATTAGTATTATTATCATGACAGCCTCCCTAAATTATTTAGAAGCATTTACACAGAAAAAGCACATTTCTTTCCATTTATCCAAGTTTGAGAATGACAAAAAGTGTAATGTAGTGTGTATGTGTCTATTTCTGTATTTACCTACATTTATCCTCTGAGCTAAAAAGCTTCCTTATCACTGTTTTAGTACTGAGAACTGCTACAGACCAAGAATACTACATTTAGTTACTGTTTTTGGTACTCTGACCCTCTTGTATGACTAGTCCTCCTTTTTTATTGCCTACACAGTCTTTCTATTTCAAGATTCAGCAGCTACTATTAACTCTTCAATAATTTAAATCTTCTAATCTTCAACGAATTCTGTAATATGTATAATATTGTCACTGCACTTCCCTTGTATGGACATCAGAAGACACTTGGGGAAGACATTTGGGGAAGTCCAAATGGTTCACTTATTAACACATCCTGTCCACCCACATTATACTCCTCCCTGGCTTCATTAAAAACATGGGCTCTGAGCCATTCTTTACCTTGGCAACTATCTTTGCACTGTACGCACACACACTTACTATGGCCATACTGTGAACTGGAGATGGAGATACTATTGTGTGCAGTGAAGGCTGAGTTAGTCCGTGCCTAGTACACCACGGCCCGTGTATGACATCACTCAGTCCGCTGTATCATTAAAAGGCGGGAAAAACAGTTTCGGGGGAATTCTGGATAGCATTCCTGAAAAAGTCCTTGAGGGGAAGGATAGCGATGGCTCCCTAATCAGTCCAAAGCTCTGGTAAAAACAGTGGAAGCACTCACTGACACATGACTTATATACACACAGTTTGAGGGCTTCCAGCTCAAATCAGAAGTGCTCTTTCTCTTATCAGCTGCTGGTCCAGTATTTGGGTTGAACATGTTCTTTTTCTCCAAAAACATTGCTCGGGCGGCATGCAAAGAATTTCATCCTAATTTACCCCAAGAGATGTTCTGCATCAAAATGAAAACATGCAGGGGACTGTTACAGAGGTTAAAATGAGGAGATTCAACGCCCTACCCTCCACTCAACTCTGACTTGCTTTTATTGTTTAATCCTCTTCAGCAGTACATCACTCTGTCTTTGCTTTGGCAGGCTGAGTAGCAAAAGGGTAACTTTATAACACACATCTCAGTATTGTCTCTAATACCTAATCACAACTTCAAAATTGAATGAATAATGATGTAAGTTTTTTTTTGTTTCTTTCTTTGTTTTTCAATGAGAGACAAAGGCTACATTTTTTAGAAAGACACTAATGAAAAGTTGAGCTTAGGACTGTTACATTATTAACTTAATTGAATAAAAGCCAGTTTGAATTGAATATTATCTTGCATTTTCTTTATTCTTTTTACTGTTGCTGTTTTTGTACTTTGCTGTCGCAACACAGACATATTCTCTTTATGAGTGTCCTTGATTCATTGCTACACCCCAATTTACATTTCATCTTATAAATTTCCTTTTGATAAATGCTAATATTTGGGATTAATAACTAATAACAAACACAAGAAAGTGATAAAAGAATGATGGTTTTACCTGTTGTAGTTTCGCAGAAGTAAAGCTTGATTGCTTGGACATGATTCAGGAGGACTGTGGCACCCAAAGACAGGAGCTGGAGCTGTGTATTGCTGATCAACTATTAAAAATATAAATTAATTATGAAATCTAAAATGTGCATTATAAAAGTGTAAGAATATGGTTCTGATAGTAGGCCACCCCAAACATGGTGTATGTTATGTATTCTTTGTTTTCAGGGTGACAACAGATCAATCACTAGTTTGACTGTTTCCATAGCATTGACGTAAGGGCACTTTCCCATCTCCAGAGTCATTAAAGTTAAAAGCATAAAAAGACAAACAGAGTGTGTTTACATACGTATATGACAGAAACTGAAGTGATGTGTGACAGAGGAAAATGGATTTGTTGTGATATGTAAAATGATGGGGTACTTATATAACCTTGCAGTGACATGACAGTTCTATAGTCTGTGAATTAATGTAGTGAAAACACAAGGGCGAGAAGTTTACCTATGTTGCTTTGTGGTGACAGTGTGTCTTCATGTTTGAAGGACAAGCTTGGGAGTTGGTGAGATGGAGTAAGACCATAGCTGGGGTTGTTATCCAAGCCCATTGCTCCATAACCTGCAAGCACACATGAGAACTCAACGGAATGAGGAGCTGGTTCATTAATATGCACATTAATGTCATGTTAATGTTCCTTTTGGTGAGAAATAATTTAATTGCGAGTAAAAATAGTGGCCTAATTTGTACTCAAACAATTAAAAAATATATACTGTATACACATTTTGCCACAGCATTGGACTGAAACTTGCCAATCAAAATAAAAGTGAAGTTCCTCTGAATTTTTTATTTATTTTTTTAATCAGAGGGTCCTCTGTTCACTGAGTAACCAATACACAGTGTTGCACTAGGAAGCCCTTCTGTTTGACCTAATCCTCAACTTGGATAAAAATGAATGTAATAAAGGTATTTATTTTAGTAATGTTACAGTGTTTTCAACTACAGAGGACATAACTAAATACAACTAAACATAATTTTACCTGACCTTGCACCCAAATACAGGATAAGGTGAATAAGATGAATGGACATATTCTTTTATTAGAAGATAAACATTTAAATAGAAATTATAAGTGACTTTATTGAAATAAGCATACTCTTTTAACTGATCCAACTCCATTTTTCTCTAAAATCTTTATGAAAAAAAAAAACAAAAAACATTTGATGGCATTTACAAGCACGGACAAACAATAATAACACTTAACACTTGATAAAAACGTATTCTGCTCACCTTGGCTCCTGGGAGCAGAAAGACTATCTGCACAGGTTGGTAGATATGTCCCATTTGAAAACATCCTGGCTTGGCCTGCAGCGGGTTCTCCAAAAGCCCCAACTCTACCCGCACCAGTAAACTGTCCTGAGAAGTGCACTGTGAAAGCCCCCAACCCACAGTGAGGGTCCTCCAAAGTGTCCGAGGGAGGCCAGCCTGGTTCCTGTTTGATGAGCGAGTGATGGGACGGCAGACAGCTGTATGGAGAGGTGGGATGGAGGTCTAAAAACTGAGACCATTGTCCCTCACTGACAGACATTCCACAGCCTCCACTGACGCTGGGCCCAGGTAAGGACGAGACAGGAGGCGCGGGTGACAGGAGAGTCAGCTCCCGAACCTCTGAGCTCAAGGGGCCCAATGAAGCACTCGGCTCTGTCAACATTATTGAAAGAAGAGTCCAAAAAAAGATTTCGAGTGAAGATAAAAAAACAAAAATATTTAACTCACAGTCAAAGTCATAAAGCATAAAGTAACACTTCTAGCAGAGTGCATCTTGTGAACAACAATATATTTGATAAACTTGATTAGCAGGTCTTATAAATGTCAGATAAAAGCAGTGGAGTCAAAGTGGACTTGTTGAGATGTGGTGGGGTCTGTCCTTTGGTCTTTATCACATCTGGCTTTTCTTACTTTCTTGAAGGCTCAAATAGGATGGACAGTGGGAGGAGCAAGAAGATGACTAAGTTTGCCTTACCCTGGACACACAACTAGACCGGGCTTTAAAAGTAATGGTGTGGTTTGTTGCCTGAAAAAAATAAACATAAATAAAAACATCACAACTATAATTTTACACTCTTTGATTAATAGGGCTATAAAACTGTTTCAATAAAATAATGAATAATTACCAACCAATAACATTAGTCATAATTTATAACTCAAACATGAATCACACAATTTCTTAAACATGTCCTACTTAAAATAGACATCCTTTCTTTATGATGTAACATTTTTACAGAAAGGAGAAAGAGAACTGTAGAAGTAAATCGAACAGGCATGTAACATCAACATGTTTACATAAAAAACCTTTCCAATGAATACAGCAAAAATAGGGACAAAGTCAACATGACAACACTCATGAGACATCACTGAAAACAGAATGGTGCACCTTCAGTTTTGCCAAATGTAATAATATTAATTTTATATAAATTATATTTATACAACTGAACCCTGGTAGAAATGTAATTATAGCAGTGCCAAGGTTAATAGAGCCACTAGTGAAATGGAGGAGCACAAGAAGCACAAGTACATTGTTTGGTAATCATAAAAAAAAATAAAAATCATCCTTTAGACAATTAACTAAATAAACAAAAACAAAGAAATATCCTACAAAAGAGGTATAATTGCAATAATCTTCTGCACTGTAGCAAAGGCACATTCTGCATTTGCACCCCCAGTGTTGTGTGTGGAAATTTATCAAGGGTGACAGACCCAGGAGAAAACGAGTCTCTTTTAGTCACAACATGACGAATGGCAGCCCCAAATTTGGCCATTCCTCAGTTGAATCTCTGGGTTTAAAACAACACTAGAGTAGGGCAGAAGGGAAATGGTCAGTACTGTCTGTGACCCCTAACAGGAATCACACTCAAGGCTCTGAGTAAGAAGCAACATGAGAAGGGCTGGTATCTGACTGGAATATGCACCACACTGAATATGTTACTAACAGATTCAATAAACATCACTATTTGTGTTCCATTGCAGATGGGCTGCTATAGTAACACATTCTAAAAGAACTGACAGAAACACAAAACAAAAATGAGCACAAATAATTATGTCTTTGTCAAAGACAGATGCCAAAATGTGTGGCCTAAGTACTGCAATGTTTTTTACATTGTAGATTCAACAAGCTAATGGCCTAACTGTGAATTACAGAATTTATGGTTTTGAGGAAAATGCATCACATGTCCTACATGTGTTCTTAGGTACCATCCAACAGCATATATTTGTAGCTGATGTATATGCACTTTATGATCAAAGAACAACATGGGTATATGTATGTGTGTATATATATATATATATATATATATATATATATATATATATATATATATATATATATATATATATATAAAACAATCTAAAGACTGGGCAAAGACCTAACTTCAGAAATTATTCAGAGCTTCAGAGTTCACAGTATCACACAGTTTGTACATTACTATACTAGTACATATATACTGCACTGTATAGATCTACAGTACCAGCTTGTAAATGTATAATATAAATTTGCAATGAAAGTTTTGTAGATGAGTATGAATTTAGCTGAATAAAGTATGTCTCATCTCTGCAGGTGCTTGTGTGTCAGTATCAAGGCCGGCCTTTATCAGGCATTTACAGTAAACCACAGCCTTTTCCAGGGGTCACGCCCTGAGCAGCTGGATGTGAGCAGTCATCACAAAACACTGCACATATCTACATATTGGTTCTGTTGTCATAGCCTGCTACCTCATTCAAGTGAAGCTAGTGTTGAGATGACAGTAAAATATGTGACATGGGGCAATCGATGTTACCGCAATCAGTGCTTTCAGTGGTTAAGGGGAAGGCCACTATAAGGCAACTTACTCAACCATAATTTTTGCTAAACTTGCTAGACAGAAATACTCTCCACAGTTAACATATTATAAATAAGATTAGCGGTTAATTACCATACATACAGCCTGTCATATACAAATAATGTAAAGAAAAACAAACAAAAAGATCTAATAACAAGGGGCCTCCAAAATTTACTAACTTGTTACGTCTAGTTAGATTTATATTTCTTTCTATACTATATCAGCAACAACAACTACATTATGAAGAAAGTTGCCATGACTGTAATAACCACACAAAGGCGTCAGGATTTCCAAGAAAACAGTGGTCTTTTCTTCCTCTGCAGCCTTTCAGTTTAAACAGAGCACAAACATTCTCCAGAGGGATTACTGACCTCAGATAGCTCCACGCCAAAGATGCAAACTGACTCTGACTGATTGCTGCTGTCTTTGGTGTGATAGGACAATGCTCATTAAGTGATATGGTAAGATAACAATGGAATTTACATGCAGCCTTATTTTGGTTTTGGAAAAACTCAAACTGTTACTAAAATTTTGAAAGTAGTCACATAAAAACAATAACTATGCATAAATATATACAGATTATTGCAGCATAGTGACAATGTATAAGTGACATACAGGGCTCTACCAACCTTTGCATTGTGGATTTGAGTTTCACACCTTTTGTCTTGTCATGTTTTCTTGTTTCTGAATGAGACAAAATATGTATTTTTATTCTGTCTTAAGTAGTTGCTAAATTACACAATTATTGGTTATAAACCATTAACCACCAAGTCGATGTCATTGTACACAAAATGTTCAGTGAATACCATTAAAAGTGCAATTAAAAACATCATTGTTCATTTCCCGGTAATTATGAGATGGTTTCCAAATTCCAATACATCCTAACTAAAACAGTGAATAGAGATTATGTCAGCAATAACAATCATCTGCTGCCTATGTATCCAGAATATATTACCTTTCCATGTGTAATTTCTGATGAACTCACAATATGATATTGCAAGGCTTGATTTTTTGCAAGCTATGTCCTTTAAACTTATCAGCTCATTGAGTGACCACTGATTAAGTAATTACCACCTGCTTAGCTGGACAGATCCCCAGCTAACTCGCTATTGCATGGACTTTAATTCATTTTAAGCGACCAAAACATATGAGGAATGTATTTATTTACTGAAATAAAAACATAATTGAAACAAATGAGACTGTATATTTGAACATTATTTAGATCATATTTAAGTCAGGTCTTACAGGAGGAGCTTCATTCCCAAACTGAAGAGCTTTTTGCTTACTAGTTGTTTTCCTTTGTGGTCGAACGCTTGCAGAGGCCAAGTGTGCTTCTAAGTAATTAACAAGCTATTCTGTCCACCTTTCCTTGGAGAGAAGTTACTCATGCAATACCTCTTGACAAGGTCAGTGCCTGATAGATGAGGCTGAGCAAGGGGATTTTTCAGAGATTGTGAAGGCAAGCAGAACTGTGGGAACCAGACAATTAGTGGGTGTATGGTAGGCGGCCATGTTGGATGATGAGCATGAGGCTGGTTTACATGGATACTTACTACTTGGAGGCTGGACAAAGAAGGCTACACCTGGGCTCAAACTCTTAACGCTGGCCATTCATCATTGAGATGGCTAGCCAGGCCATGCGCCAAGAGTTTTGGGAGAATGTTGCGTGTGAAATAAAACAGCCATCAGGTCATTGCAAATAAAAGCTACAAAGACAAAGTGTGTTAATAAATTATTTAACCCATGAGAGTAAATTGCCACAGCAGGCTAACAACTGCACTTGGCCTTTATTTTTGAAGCACTGGAGCACACCTAAACTATTATAATACAAAATATTTTTTGTGTTAAATTGGAAAAACATCAGTTATCAAAAACTATAGCCTGTTAATAGCGGTTTCTATAGCAAAGACAGTAAAAAAAAAAAAAAAAAAACATGCATGGTACAATGTACCATGCATACATTCTAAAGGTTTGCTGTAATTTCAAGTCATTCTGCTTTGAATTCATGTCCTACTCCCACTCACCACAATGTGACTTAAAACTAGCCTTTTAAGATATGCACCTGGCTCTTCAAAGCATTTACAACTATTATTGGGACTTGAAATACACCAGGCAGCAGTTGTTAATCAGATAATGAAATTCCAAGTGCACTTGTAGAGAAGTGGTTATAAATTTTCTGTACTGACAGCACACAAGAGCAGGGAGAAAGAGTGTGGTACCAGGCACTTGCCTTCCCAATATCATGACACGTCATACATATGGTATGGTGTAACTCAGTCTATCTGGTTTGTCTCCTGGGAAAATATTGCTTCATACAGTATGCTACATTATTGTTATTATCCTTTTTTATCTGGAATCCAACAAGAGGACATACCTACTTACTGACCTAAATAAAATAGGCTGGCTAAGAAAATTTTAATTCAGTTTTCAAAGCACAACCATGCCTGTATACATTTCACTTTCAACCTCACCTCAAGCACTGACACCACTAAGGCCATTGTAAAAACAACATAGGGCCTACTCATAAAAAGTTTCCATAGGTCAGTGGGGGCAGAGGATGAGCAGACCCCTGACAGGCTTGTAGGATGAAGAGCTCTTGGTCAGCAGGTGGTCCACAGATGGTCAGCGAGTCCATAAGATAGCTCCCCTATAACTTTCATCCCTGACATCCATCCAGGATTACAAACATAAAAAAGAAAAGAAGAAGACAACCTGGGTAAATAGATGATCTATTTAGAGAGTACATGTAGTGACTAACATGTACATGTACACAAGCATTAAATGCCAATTAATGGTAGAAAAGTATCAAGTGATGAAAAAAAAAAAAAAAAAAAGGTGTTAATTTACACGCTACTGTAGCTTTAATATCATAACCCGGATGTGGTTTCCCCGGCCCCTGACTGTTCTCTTCCGCTCATCTCTCAGTCGCGGTGGTTGCGTGGATTTCATCACCTAAGCTCACAAAAGCACCAAAATGAGCGTCCCTGCGTTTATTGATATTACAGAAGAGGATCAGGTACGGCCGATTCGTGTAAAACACGTTTCTTTGTTTCTATTTGAGCTTGACCTGGTTTCGGCGACAATAGTTGATATCGTTAGCGGCAGGCTAATAGCACAGCTGTGCTTAAGCTAATATTGTTTAGCATGTGGATAAGATGAGTATGTTCTTGTTGTTATTGACTGTTAGCCTATACCTTGGTCTACAATATATATTTATTAACTTTTTAAGAACATTGTTAGTTGTAATTACTTTATTATCTTATAGGAAATGTTTTATAGTTTTAAAACAACACGTTGACAGTGTTGTCTGTAATTTTGGAGTATTAAAAGTGAATTTTGCTTGTGCAGGCCTCTGAATTAAGAGCTTACATCAAGACCAAAGGAGCAGACATCTCTGAGGAGAACTCTGAAGGTGGGCTCCACGTAGATCTTGCTCAGATTATTGAAGCATGTGATGTCTGCCTCAAGGATGATGACAAAGGTATTTATTATGTCCACAATTATATTCTCTCTTTTTTACTTGCATATCTGTTGCTCATTACTCCACTGAGTTTTGTTTATTCATTATCACTATTGAACAGATGTGGAGAGTGTCATGAATAGCATTGTGTCTCTGCTATTGATTCTGGAGACGGAAAAGCAGGAAGCTCTCATTGAGAGTCTCTGTGAGAAACTGGTGAAGTTCCGTGAAGGAGAGAGACCTTCCCTGAGGATGCAGCTGTAAGTGAGCATTTTCTTTTATGGCTGTCTAAAACATCTAGCAAGTTGACTGACCTTATGTTTTGACCCAGTCTAAGTAACCTGTTTCATGGCATGGATGAGAATACTCCAGTGAGGTACACAGTCTTTTGTAGCCTCATTAAAGTGGCTGCAACATGCAATGCCATTGCATTTATTCCCACAGACCTTGATCAGGTGAGACATGATTTTCACAACACATTACTCAACTGCATATACCAATTAATTGCAAATCAATGTTTATATTGTTTGCAATCTCCAGGTGCGCAAGTGGATTATTGACTGGAACTTGAACACAGAAAAGAAGCACACGCTTTTGCGGCTGGTGTATGAAGCACTTGTCGACTGCAAAAAAAGGTATACTTTAACACATTCACCGTTTTAATGAAATTTTAGACTGATATATTGTACTGTATTTTTCGGACTATAAGGCACACCGGATAATGAAGCACACTGTAAATTTTTGATAAAATTAAAGAATTTTAAGTAATAATAATAATGCAACAGTTTTATATAGCGCTTTTTTGGACACTCAAAGACGCTTTACAGAGCATTATTCATTCACTCCATACCTGGTGGTGGTAAGCTACTACTGTAGCCACAGCTGCCTTGGGGCAGACTGACGGAAGCGAGGCTGCCAATCTGTGCCATTGGCCCCTCCGACCACTACCAGCACTCATACACACACCACTTTCATACTAGGCAATGAGGGTGAAGTGCCTTGCCTAAGGACACAGTAACAGTTTTTACAACTGGCGCCCCCCTGTGGCACCTGATTTCTCCTTTAAGTGTGCCTTATAGTCTGAAAAATACAGTACATATTTCTTTAACTTTTGTTTTTCTGTACATGAGGCAAGTCGTTCGTGTATATTTTGCAGTGAGGCTGCAGCTAAAGTTATGGTTGAGCTGCTGGGGAGTTACACAGAAGACAATGCTTCACAAGCACGTGTTGATGCTCATAGGTAGTAGCATTCTGTGTCTTTGGCTGTAAAAGTATAACTGTGTTTGAACGCTTTCATTTTATATTTCTTTTAGATGTATTGTACGTGCACTCAAAGACCCCAACACTTACCTTTTCGACCACCTCCTCACACTGAAACCTGTGCGCTTCCTGGAAGGTGAACTTATTCATGATGTGAGTTCTTTTACAAAATTACTCTGTATGGTTCAGAACAAGTTTGATTATTAATATGTGGTCCTGTTTAAAACAAGGAATTATAAATAAAACACAGTTATATGAGTTTAAAAATGAATGCCTTTTCTATGTTATTTATTTTATTATATAAAGATAAATGACTCAAATATATGCTCTATATCCTCCTCAGTGAATACACATTTGGTTCTTATTAATACATATCATCATGCTTTTCTTGCATTAATTTTATTTCATACATGCTGATCATGCTTTTAATTAATGAATTTCCAATCTACTGTCTTTTCAGCTGTTAACCATTTTTGTAAGTGCCAAACTGGCTGCATACATCAAGTTTTACCAGAGTAACAAAGACTTCATTGAATCTCTGGGTAAGTATATAGTTTGAGATAATTGACACACAGTGTAATTGTTTTATATAAAATTACAATGCTGTTCATTCAGCGCCAGTATAATGAATATGTTAATATACTATGTTCTATCACTGTTATAAATTAGAATCTGTTTTTTTGCTGATCTGACACTGGAATGTGCATGTGTCAGCACAGCCCTTTTAAAAGCATAGTTGTAATTACAAGCTTGTGTGGGATGGGCAGCAAAAACATACAATATAGGATCATCGTAGTCTTAATGAGCAGAGTTTCCCATCATTGGGCCTAAATGAATAAAAAGGGAAACTCCCAGGGTGAAGAGTAATAGACTGTGAACCATGTTTTTGTGTTTAATGACCCTTGGATGTTTGCCACCCAGGACTGTCCCATGAGCAAAACATGGCCAAGATGCGTCTGCTCACTTTTATGGGCATGGCAGCGGAATTCAAAGAGATACCATTTGACACCATGCAACAGGAACTGCAGATTGGGGCTGATGATGTTGAAGCATTTGTCATTGATGGTAAAAAAAATACATTTTATTAATTTAATTTTATTTTACACCCTTAAAAAATTTCAAAACATTAAACATGTTTCTTCTTTTTTTTTCTCCTAGCTGTTCGGACCAAGATGGTTTATTGTAAAATTGATCAAACACAACGCAAAGTTGTTGTGAGGTATGTTCTTTTACCACCAAGGTGTGTTAAGCATTTCATAATATGGACTTGCCTTTGCTAATGCCTTTTTTTCTACTCTTTCAGCCACAGCACGCATCGCACCTTTGGCAAACAGCAGTGGCAGCAGCTGTATGACAGTTTATCCTCTTGGAAGGCTAATCTTGCAACTGTGAAAACCAGTCTACAAGGCTTGTCTCCCTCTGCCTAATGTACAATGCTTCAGAGAAAAGGAAATACAGACTGAGCAGGTTTTTATATTATTCATCAATAAAAAAAATAAAAATTAAAAATTGAATCACATGTTTTTGTAGTTATTTGACGTTGCCTTAAGTGAGTAGTTGACATCACCATTGCATTTTCATGTCAGCACATTAGAATACTGATTTTGTCTGTAATTGCCATCAGAACATCTAATCTTGATTAAAGTTAATTTAAGAAAATATGTATAAACCAATGGAATCTAATATAAAAAAAATAGTTTACATCCTAATGGAAGTTTTCAATTCAACTCCAGTCATGATTAATTATTCATAAATCAAGAAATTTTAAACCAACTTCTATCAGTAGCCCAGTGACATTATAAAAAAGGGGGAACATGAGGTGTTTCATAATGGTTGTGGTGAAATCAGCACAAATGGACAAAGTGCAGAACACGGTCATATCTTTGACTAACAAGCTGCAACTCCATATGGATACCTGTGTAATGTCTATTTCAGCATCACTCTTCAGTGTAGCCCTTCTCATAAAATACTATTGTTTTAATGCACTGTTCATAAAGATCTGTGTAGCCTCACAGCTCACCTCTGCCATCTTGTCCAAAGGATTTCAGTCTGCAACTCTTATCAGGGGAGTAAATCACACAACACATTCTCAGGGGCATGGCCTCATCACAGCCACCTGCATGGTGAAGCACAGAAGCACATGGCATTTGCGGCACACCATTTTATAAATATGGTATGAAACAAGTAGATCAATGGGATAGATAAATGGGATTATTTAAAATTTCAGAATGTGTAGACATTGCCTCAAATTAGAAAACCAGAAATGTTACCCAGAAAAAGCTCCCACTACAATCCAACACAGAAGTTTGCTGGCCAGCATTTGATAGTGCTTCACTATCAAATACTGGAGGCAACAGTGCTCACAAGAACAACTTTTTTTTTTTTTTTTTAAGTAAAAGACTAACTGGATAAATGCAAGATATGTTAAATGACATAGTCTACCGTGGGGCATTCCAGGCAGAAGGATAACATCTCCATGGAGAGAGGCAGGTGGAGGACCCCCACAGAGACCTTATGTAGGGCACTTGTTAACATCAAGAGAATATTTGGAGAAGGCTATGCATGTTGTGTCGTTTATACACAGTATATACAAACGAATAATAGCCAAGAACGCCACAAGCCTTTAAGTGTTTCCAAGACATGATGGTGCCATCTAGCGTGCATTTTACGCACGGCGTTCCACTCTAAAGGTAAGCGTAAATCGATTGGTCATGTCTGTGCGCAGGTGGTTTTGGAAAAGCGACAATTGCAAAGGAGTAAACAGACTTTGGAAGCTTACTCACACATTACCTGTGGTTCCAAAAATAACTGGAATTCAACATTAGCTCAACCACACCACAAATAGAGGTTGTTTTTTAATTGCGTTAAAGTATTTCGAGGATTTTAAAGCCACTGTTTTGGTGTCAAGTTTTTGGGCAACCACTTTTATCGTCGTCAAAAGCCGTGTACCCACACGTATTGCTTTCACTTTGTTTCTCTGCTCGTAGACTTTATCAGTTTTTGGTTACAAAATGGAAAAAATAAGTCTTAAGTCGCTTTTTTAACTGTCTCTATGTAGTTATTACAGTCCGGTATTGTTTAAAGACTTTAGTGGCAATTAATGCCCCGCCCGCAGTCCGTGCGCAGGTGCACACATAGCCATGTTAGTGCGGGTGTTCATACTACTACAGCTCTTGCCCTTTGGAGATCTGGGTTGTCTGCGGAGTTCAGACAAGGGTAAGTAGCAACTTATTAATTTAATTTATAGCAATTGGTAGTAGGCATACATTATTTTGACATTAGCCTATATTTGTTTCTATCATGTTTCAGCTGAAATTTTCATTGATGAGGGGGGCGCAAACTCTTTTTTGGGTCGCCACCTTCTGTTGAATCGGTTTGACTTTGAAATCTTCGTCCCCGGAAACCTGGAGAGGGAGTGTTTTGAAGAAATTTGTAACTATGAAGAAGCCAGAGAGGTTTTTGAGAACATCCCTGATACAGTTGAGTGTGTTCAGTCAAATCCCCTTAATAGAGAACATAAAGCTCTCATTAATGCTAACAGTATTTTTGTTTTACAGGATATCTTTTGGAAGAAATATACTGAAGGTACACCGTGTTTTAGATTGGCCTTGCTTCCAAGAAATGCAGTATAAAGTGTTTTCTATGATTAAAAACGCCCTAATGACACCCTAGTGTCTTCTACAGTCTGGGGAAGAATTTATACATATCCTACTGAGTTTAAAGAGTTCCAAACTTGCAACACCACATTTAAAGACAATATTACATAGGTTTGCAGTTTGTGAACAAATTTTCACATTTTTAGTTAGTGCACTTTTAAGCAAATGCAAATGTAACTGATAGTCTGCCACCTGCTTGTTACCATAGAGATATTGCTTTGTAATGTTACACTGTATGGCATAAAATGTATATTTTGCCTGGAGTATTTTTTTTCCAGATGTTTTGGAGCAATAAAATTGCTGTAATTCTAGTTAAATGGAAGACAAATGACTTTAATGCCATATTTCCAGGTAAAGTAATAGTATAATGGAGACAAGCAGTTGGCCGGCTCCTCACCTGAAAAGATACACAGTGCATGTTTTAATATGATGGACACGGAGGCATATATGTATAATGTTATGTCCACAGATAAGGGCCAGCGACCCAGCCAAGTTGATGTGACATCCCTCTTGATTGGATTAATTGCTGCTGGAGTGGTTCTTGTTTTTGTGGGCCTTCTTGCTTGGTATTTCTGTCAGGGAAAATGTAAAGATGACATCAGCCGTGCCAGGTAAATAACAGGACCTTATTTCTCTGTACATTTTACACAGTATTCTGATGTATCAATTCGGCTACAGAGGGATCAATAAGTCGTGAGACTTATTGATCCCTCTGTAGCCGAATCATGTCTTAAAAGCTAATATTAAGTTGAGCTAAAGTTAAACTAGGGGTGGGTGATATCATAAAAATTAATATTTTGATCTATTATTCATTTTATTTATGTATTTATTTATTTGAGCATCATATTCATTACATTAAGTTCATTCATACAGTAAGTGCATTGTCATTTAGGTACATAGTTAAAGTGCTCAAAAGGAATGGGTAGAAGTTAAAAACTTTTATTTTCCTACCCCCATTCCAGAATTTTGAATTTAGTACTTATCTGCTATGTATGTTATGTCTGCAGAATGTAATTACAATTTAGAATAAATAGAAATATAATATAATATAAAATAAGTTAATATAATATGCAACAATATTCAGTTCAATTAACTTGCCAAGTTCTCATGATCTACATACATTGCTCAAAAAAATTAAAGGGACACTCTGAAAACACGTCAAATCTCCAAGCTGAAAAAAAAAAAAAAAAAAGACCCCTTGGTCTTTTTTGATTGGTTTTCCACTAGTGCTGGCTTTGGCTACGAGGAGAATGAAACCATTCCCTAAGAGAAATTGCACAGATTGTCCATCTTCATGGCATATCCAGATGTGCTGGTGCAAGGAGATTTAATATGTCTCCCAGCACAATCTCCAAAACATGGCAGAGATTTCAGGAGACAGGCTCTTGGAGAGGTGAATAGGGCTGCAGGTCCTCAACCCATCAGCAGGACCAATATCTACTCCTTTGTGCAAGAAGGAACAGGTTGAGCACTGCCCTTGCCCTACAGAATGACTTCCAGCAGGCCACTGGTGTGAATATCTCTGTTCAAACAATTAGAAACAGACTTCATGTGGGTGGCTTGAGGGCACCATGTCTGTAGTGGGCCCTGTTTTCACCACCCAGCACTGTGGACCTCCATTGGCATTTGCTAGATGACACCAGAGTCCACCACTGGTGAAAATGGCAGTCTGACTGCCATTAGATATTGAGATTAAATCCTTTGTCAAAAATCTCATTGTCAGACCCTACACTGGTCAGTAGGTCCTGGATTCCTCCTGATGCTCAGCAATGCCCTGCCTCATGAGGCAAGAGTCTGCAGACAGTACCTGGAGGATGAAGGGATTGATACAATTGAATGGCCATCATGATCACCTGACTTATACCTGATAGAAGACCTCTGGGACATTATGTTTGGGTCCATCAGATGCTGCCAGGTTGCTCCTCAGACTCTACAGGAGCTCAGTGATTGCCTTACACAGATCTGGGAGAACATCCCACAAGACGCCATTCGTCGTGTCATTATGAGCATGCGATAATGTTGTCAAATGCGCATACAAACACGTGGGTGACACACAAGATACTGAGCATTTTGAGTTGCAGAAATAAAATTTTGGCAAAATGGACTCGCCTGCCACATCATTATTTCACTTTCAGGTTGTCTATAAAATTAAGCCCTCCATTAAAAGAGGTGTCATCCTTTTGTCCAAGACATTGCCCTGTCCATATTTTTATAGACATCCATACTTTTTTCACATTCAGATCTGATATGTTTTCAAAGTGTTTCTTAAATTTTTTTGAGCTATATATATATTTTTTTATGTAAATCATATGAGCATTCTATAAAATTCATTGAAGTTAGTAAAGGTTTTTATTCTTTTCTTAAAGTTTAAAGTCTAAAGTGTTATTACAACAATAAATCTTATAATATAATAATTGTAATATGGTAAATATTATATTAAATATCTTCTACAAAAATCTATCAATATATCTTTAATATCAAATTATCACCCAGCTCAGGGTTGAACTGTATTGCCCCACAAAGCAACACATGAGACAGTACAATAGTAAAGAATTTAAACACAGGGTGCAGTTCAGTTATTACATGCCATACCACAATCTTTACCATTATGAATTAACCAATTACATAGGCTTAGGTAGCAAGATACACTGGCTGCCTTTTCTGTTGCATCCAGTCACATATCCAATGTCACTCCGACAAAACTGTAGACCGAATGATTAACGTATAGGACTATACCATAGCAATATTTGATGCCCAAAACATCACTTAAGTCTTTTAGATTCTGTCCCCATTTTATGTTTACCAGTTCAATTCGAATTCGCTCAAGAAGGAGTAATGCATCAGTAATCATTCGACGACTGGAGGAAGTGTCCTTGCAGCCTGTGAACCCACAGCTGGACCCTGTTCAAGACACAGATGCCCCAGGCCTACCTTCATATGAACAAGCTGTTGCAAACAGTGGACAATATGATGCCCCCCCGCCACCGTATCCTGGGTATTTATTATATTTACCTTTTTAGTATTGGCAGTGAATTGTATAACCAAGTAACTTTTTTATCTTTAGATCAAGACCTGGCAGTACAAGACGATAACCAGAAAGATACATACATCATCTGCCCTTCCCAGACCTCTACACTGGATTGCTCTTATTCTCATTGTGCCATTCAATTTGATGCACTAGAACTATTACTTTATAACGGAAGGAGACAGACATGATGTCTACTTATAGGCTGTTTACTTTAAGATATCTTAAATAAGTAAGCCTAGATCCTACCTTTCATGTTTTATATTTTAATATTGCTGCTTTTACCAAATGAAAAATGAAGCCTCCAAAGATTGTTATATAGCATCTCCAAACAGTGTTTGTCCATGTTTCTTTTATTTCTAAAGAAAAACAAAACTGCTGCTATGAGCAAACCTATTTTAATGAAGTATAATTTTAATTTTATTTATACATAAGATTAAGCTTAATTTGTAGACTGTGCTTTCCTTTACACTTCATCTTGTGGTAAACGACTTCAAAAACTGAGTGACAGTCTAACTTCATAAATTCAGATAATTGTCTCTGTTTATTAGCCTACCCATTTCATATTCATCTTAAGTGTGAAGTTTTTTGTTTTTGTTTTTACAATGATTTATCTTTGGTGAGGTGCTATTTGTTTGTCTGGCAAAACATTGCAATTTTTGCTCCTTTGTCTCATACACATGAAAAATGGGCATGGTGGAAATTTTAATGAAATTTACGAAATTCTATATTTTTAAGTTTTTATTGTAAGATGCAATAAATTTTAGATAAAACCTATATTCACTTTATCTTTCTTGTAATAATAGCCTAGTGTTTGCATAGCTCTTATATAGTATGGCACCATGGAAGTACAATAAAATCTTACAGATCCATGTATGGAACTTATAATACATCTAGTCTAGGAAAGGGGCAAAAACGACAAGCTTGACTGCGGTGCATCCTGGGAAATATGCTAACATGGACGAAGCGTGCAGGATTTGCACCATGATCTTTGCTGTTTTCGAAGAAGGGCGTCGAACAAAAAGTGATTATTGACTTGAAAGTAGACGCGATACTAAACAGAGCCTTTTAGGCGCTTTGTGGATGTCCACGGCTCTGGCAGGACTGATCTTAGTCCGTCACACTGAGCTGCTACAATGTGCGTCCAGTGCCTCTCGAAGCTCCGCAGGAGAAGCAGATCTTTAACCGGATGATGGACAGGAACTACCCGTGCTCAAGCTTCGCGGACGCGCTGGCTCCTCCAGCACAAACCGCAGCTTCTTGGGCCTATGAACGTAGCGCTGCGAGTATCAAGCCAAGGTAAAAGGAAGGAGAGGGCGGGTCTCCTTTCCCAGAAAATGTCGGTGATGAAAGGCCTAGGAGATTGCAACCGAGAAGTCCCACTGCCTGTTTGTTGTCAGTAACGCCAAATAGGCTACAGAGAAAGTTTAGTAGCCTGTACGTTAGAGTGAACATTTTTGTGAGTGCTACAGTGGTAGTGAAGCCTACTCTCCTTGTAAAGGTTGCTGCGTGGCTTCCACAAAAAAATCATTCCATGTTTTGGCTGGGTTCATGATCTGTCGGTAGCCTACATATAACAGTAGTTTAATTACGCCTCAGGCTTTAGTCATACAACTACTTTTCTGTAAGCTATTAGCTGGTTACCAGTTTGTTTACAAAGTTTAGGCATACTGTTATCTACCCTGTGCTCTATCATAGTGGCATGGTTTATTAGCTACTTGTTGAATTGTTACTTAAAACATTTTTAAATTTGTTTATACATTGTAACTTGGTAAATTGTCCTCATGTTTACTATTTAGGCTACACTTGTTAAATCAGTGGTCTACAAAGTTCTTATTAACAAGAACATGAGTCATCCACAATGCTCACATTAATCTACAGTGTTTCTTGTCTACTTTTAGCACCAGTTATGGCACAACACATGTTGACACAGAGGTTCTTCACCGGCAAAGTTACGTGTCCTCCCACCAGCTGCCCAACTACACTACAACAAACCTACCTGCTGGAGGTAAATTAAATACTGTGGGCTACATTATCGTCCTAACTAGTTGCTGATGTATGCTTCTCTTATTTTAGGCACGCTTGACACAAATAGTCATACTTCTGAGACCTCAATTATGAGCTTCTTGTCAGCCATGGAGTCCAGAAGTCTTCAGGCAGGACCTGTTGGTGCCTCACTGCTTCCTCCTTTTAGACCACCATCATGGCCAGCTGGTAAGAGGATTTATTAGATAAAAAACAAAGTTAAAACCTAATAACAGTACATTTTAACAGCTTCTATCTGTACTAGGGTGGTGACTAACAATTATTTTAGTAATTTACTCATGTACAATATTTTTTTTAATACCGTACTTAAAGCATTATCTCTATTTTACATTCATTGAGACTTTTTAAATAATACAAAACAAAATAAAACTTGGAGTATAGTGATGGAAGGCTTCTGAATAAAGTGTATTGTTGATGAAAATTAGAAATAATTTATTCTGGCATTCTCATTTTGGTTTAAAAATGCCACTATCTTTGTTGTCAAAAGCCCTTTTTGTATGTGTTTTAGAGTCTGTATACAGATTATTCTTATCAAAATATGTCTTATTATTTTTAATGGTCAATTAGCCGTGAGTAGTCTTTTCATTGTTAAAGCCCTAATTTGTACATTTCACTACATTTATATTATTATTCCAGTAAATATTTTGAAATCGAGGCATGTTTTCCTCACGAATACAAAGGAAGCCTAAAACCAAATAGTGTCAGTGTTTTTAGTGTGCTTGTTAGATTCATCTTAATAAATATTGAAATAGTCGTCAGCGAATTTGGTGATAATCATTTTCTGGAGTTTACAGACTCACATCATGTCCTGTGCTGACAGTAGAGGTTTATGACACAGACAGAGCAGTAACTGCACCAAAATGACACGGCAAACATGTAAATGAGCTTGGGGAAAAAAAAAAAAATCTCTATAAATATACCTCCAGATGTTCTTAGGCAGCATCGGTTTAGCTTCTTATTCACGCTTTCGTGATCTAATTAATCAGCATCACTGATTAATTGAAAAATAGTTAAAGTTAGTTGCAGCCTTATTTTTGACTTTATGTTTGATATATTTTGCTACACTTTTAAATGTCTTGACCTTTACATATTTTCTTTCTCTGCTCTAGGCACAAATTCTACCACAGAGTTATACTTGACTGGTGCCCTGCCATCTACTGCCACTTTCCCATCTACTGCTGCTCTTATGTCTTATCAACATACCAGTGCCTACCCATCCAGAAGTTGTGCTGCAAATTCTCCTCCAGCTCTTCAGGACCCCGCCTTCAGCACTTCCACCAGTGGCTTGTTTCTTTCTCATCACGACCCCCTTCTACATCTCAAACCAAGTCAGACCATGCTTCCTGCAGCGTTGGCCTTTTCTTCTCCCACTTTAGGCTCCACTTTACCAGTCCAGTCCTCCACATACCGCTCAGCTCAGGAGTCAGCCCCTCACCTCCTTCAACCCCAGTTTAGCCTGCTTCCTTGTCCGTTATCCACTCCTCATGGACCTTCACAGCAATTTGGCGCTACTGTATTTTCAGGCTCTATTGAGAGAGCTCTTCAGAGAGAATGTAGTGTGATCAAACACCACCAGAGGCCTTCTACAAACATCACAGTTACCGAGCAGTCCCCGGACTCTGAGCATGCACTACAAGGCTACTTTGGAACTGTCAGTGATGAAGAGGTATCTTATCCACCTGAACCATCTCGGCACTCCCCTGTGTCCTGCAGCCTTTCCACTGGATCAGATTCCTCCCATGGAGTAGTTTCTCAAGCCAAAACCGATTCAGTCACTGAGGCTTACTCAGCTATTTCTGTGCCAAAGGCTAAAGATATCCATCTAAATGATGTAGATAAAGACAGTAACTATAAAAACCATAATTCTCCAGGACAAAAGCAAAATTCTGTGATTGCTAATCAGCAGTCCATACAATTGTCTGGCCCTATAACCAGCAGTTCCCCTATTTATGTCAATTCACATGCTCAGTCACAACCTCCATGTTCTTCTCCTAACAAACTGCCTGCACCTTCCAGCCAGTCGGGGAGTGCTTCATCTGTCAATCAGAGCCATGTTTACTCCCCTGGTCAGGAGCAAGAGACGCAGTACACAGCCCAGGCTCAGGGCTTGTGTCAACAACTTGCTCTCTCTGAAAGTTATGCTACACCCCACTCTCAGGGTACCCCTTTAATGACTTACACATCCCAGTCAGAGGTGCAAGCTTCATTAACGTATCCACACAGTTACGCCCCAGAGCAATCCCTTAACTCATCCTTTCCAACCACATGTATGGAGAGTCTTTCCACTTCTAATTCTTCTCAGGTGTACTCTTTAATTCAGGCTTCAGGAGAAAAGGTGCTTAACAACTTATCTGCGCAAGAAGCACACAGCAACAAATCATTGCCCCTTTATTCACTGTCAATGCAGTCCTTACAAAATAACATCACAACTACAGTTCAAGACATAAAGCCTGCAACGCAGCAGGTCTCAATGTCTGTCAATTTAGCTGAGAACAGTTTGAGTGCTCACAACAACATTATTTATGTTGTCTCAAAGATGGAAGACCACCATAAATTACAAAGTGTTATTCGAAGCAGTTCACAATCGGTTGACCAGGCAAATGGACTGGGACCTGCAAATAGAGCGCAGGTTAAAGATGAAAGTACAGTCACAGTAGGCCAAGAACATGCCCATCAAACTACTGTCTCTGGGCAGCTAGCTTCCAGCATATCACCGACAGGCAATAGTGTAGTATGTTCCCCTCCACAATTGAACCTAGAGCAAAAACTGCATTCTTCACAGATCAGATCTCCTGAATCTCATCAACAAAGTCATCAAAATCCAATTCAGGGCCTTGTTACACCAGGCCACACTCAGTTCATAACGGTTCCCTGTAATCAAGTTCTTATTGACCCAAACCAGATGATCAGTCACAATCAAGCCTCATCAAAGGGGGTATCTGTGCCAGGAATACAACAGCCCCAAGGCCTGGGTCCAGTTCATGTCCAGTATCTTAATATGGATCGAGACTTGCTAGGATCGAGCATGGCTGAGACCACACATGAACAGGGGCAATTTCATGAGCAGAATTCTAGATGCCCTGATTCTAATCATCCTCTTATCCCAAAAAGCCACTATGACCAGACAACAAGTCAACAGCTGAATGATGCTAAGAACCATTTTGCTCTTAACTCAATTTGCTTTTCCGACTCAGTGTTAGATGAAAGGAATATTATGTCTAATGTTGATGATATTTTGGCTGCTACAGTTGCAGCATGTGGTGTCCAAGATTTTGTGAAGGCATCATCTTCTGTTGAGTCTGATAGGTCAAAAGTAAATCCTGCTGATCCCAAAAATCAGTTTCAGACTTTAGATATGAGACATATATCACCTATTTTCTCCAGTGCACAAGATCTCACAAATGTTTCCTCCAGCACTGTGGCCATAGCATCGAATGGATCTCGTGTGACATCAGGCTGTCACGGACCCTCCATCCATTTTAACCATAATCCTGAACATCACACAAATGAAGACAAAGACGGGTCAGAAAATCACTTTATATATGTCCCCTCTGGTAATGAAAACCAAACCAAAGTAAGGTCAATATTAAGTATGAAAACAGAGGAGGGTCCTATGGAGTATGCTGATGGTGAAGCCAAAAAGAAGGGGAAGTCATTAACCAAGCCAGGAGGTGACGATGATGCACATGCTAAACGCAGTGGACAGGTGAAGCGGCAAAACTCCAGGCCAAGTGATATTTCACCTCCTGTCACAACAAATTCAGTTGACAGTTGTCCACAGCAGGAACGAATAAGGCAAAAGATTCGGGAAGTGGAGGAGAAGCAACCAGAGGTTAAAAATGGATTCATAGGTTCATTTTTGGACTTTCTCAAATCTGGCCCAAAACAGCAATATTCTCCCAGTCCTGCACGAACAATCAGTCGGTCAAAGAAGCCTTGCAACCCACCCAAACCCCCTACATGTACTGCAAGTACTTTACCAAGTGTAGCACCTAAACTACAGACTCTTACAGCATCTTTAATTCCTCAAGCAAGCCCAGTGGTGAACTCTCATTCAAAACGCCTAGATGAAGATCTGCAGAGGAATCTGGAGACACTGCCATCATTCAGCTCAGATGAGGAGGAAAACACTGGGAAGAATTTAGCTTTAAGGAATAGCATTAGCTCAGTGCTCTCATCTCTGGATGAATCTTCAGATAGGAAAATACGAATAGGTAGAGTTTGCATTCTTTATATGTCATGCTCTTGCTGAAATGATTCACTATTTAATGCATTCACATTTATTTCTGTTGCATTTGTTTCTATTATTAATATACTTCTAATATATATATAAATATATATTTGCAGATAACAGAATTTCTAACCCTATGTTGAAGCCTGAACAACCAGTCATGGTGCCTGTTACTATAACAGCCATTTGTCTTCCACAAATGCCTGCCCCTTCACAACAAATAAAGAGTGCCACGAGACAGACGACTGTAGCTGCAGAGAAGCCCTCTGTGACCGCACCTTCCCAGTTGGCTGTTCAGCTGACAAGTGTGGCTCTGGAAGGACTCACAGATGATGAACTTTCTGATAGCGGAGGAGAGGGAATGTATCGTGAAAGAGATGAGTTTGTTGTCAGAAATGAGGATATTGAACCGTTAAAGGTACATCTGACTCTGATAGTTGCTTAATAATTACTTTTAAAAGTTTTGTACTTAGACCTTTACTGTTTTTTTTTTTTTTTTGCAGGTCACAATGAAAGCAGGGAATGAGCCCCCTGCTATCTGGAAAGTTCAAAAGGCTTTGCTACAAAAGTTTGTGCCTGAGCTACGAGATGGACGGAGAGTCTTCTCAGCCACAAACAGTGTAAACTTTACATTGTATAGAGTAATATTTCATGAGAAAATGTGAAAATGTATATAAAACATTTACATTTCTGTCATTCTTCTGTTTAGTATTTGGGGTATTTTGGAGATGCAAAAACCATGTACAGACGGGTTTACGTAAAGTTTTTGGACACTGTCAATAAGCGAGAGTATGTCAGAGTTTGTAGTAGAAAACCTCGCTGCAAGCCTATGACTTCCTTAAGGTAGATAGATTTTTCTAAAACATAATTAGAACAAAGCAAAGGCTGAATGATTTTTAATCTTTGTTTCTTTCTTGCTGTACTCAGAGGTGTGCAGGTTAAAGCCCTGCTTGGCTTGACAGCCAATACTTGCAACACCTCATTGTGCCAAAAGCCCCGACCCAAACAACCTAAGTCCAGGGCAGAGCCACCACCCAAAAAACGCCGGAAATGGAAGGAGGAGTTTTCATCTACTCATTCAGACTCTTCTGCTGAAGAAAATGGTAAATATTTTTGCTTTATCTCTTTTAAAACATAACCAATAAAAAATAATTTATTTGCAAATGTTCTTAGACTTAAATCCTCCAGTTCCCTTTACTTCACGTCTGCTGAACACAAGGACAATGAAGGAGACATTTAAGGGCTTTGTGGAACTGCTCATCAGTATTGCATTAGATGAGGATTTGATAACCGCTTTAGAGAGATCAAATGGTGATTGAAACATTTTGACAAATTACATAATCTTTATCGTACGAATTGGACATTTGTCAAGTACTATGGGTACACTTTGTCATTTGTCATAGATGACGTACTACTACCACACATGAAGAAGGTGGATGGGATGATTACAGACAACAGGAAACGTTTACTTCTCAAACTTCCTATTGAAAATATTTTTAAGGTGTCTTTCATTTTATTCAGTAGTATAGATAAAACAAAATTTAATTAAATTGCAAGTAAAATGGCATTACAATTCTATCTGTTGATTGTGTCTAGACGGCCTTGGACAGCTTTCCTGAGATTGCCGTAGTGACGGAAATGAAAAAAGATGGCGAAACTCCAACCTTCAAAATTCGTCTAAGTGGGAGGGCCTACAACAAAAAAACAATGAAACCCTACAAGTTACCAAACAAAGTGCCACAGGTAATTTAAATCTGTAACTACTGTCACCCAACAGGGGGTGCAATTTATTTCTTACTCACACTGTCATGCTTGCTCTTCTCTCATAGGAATACACTGTTAATCAACAGCAAACTCAGTGGTTCTCTTTGTACCACTCTTTACAACATTACAAGTACCACACATACCTCATGTGTAAAAATGAGGTGAGGCACAGTTCCCATTAAACGACACTCCTTTGCACTCTCCTGTTTGGTGACAATTGTGTGTGTACACCCTCTCTCTCAAAGATTGAGTCTCTGCGTGTCCAGGCGGGAGAACTGGGACAGGAGCAGACCGTACAGAAGTGCCTGCAGAACGGAGCGTGGTTGGAGGGCCTCTTTGATCGCTTTGGAGAGCTAATCAATCAAGTGCAGCAGGTCTGCCGATGATCTTCACTTGTTTAGACTGGTGACAGAAATATTTGAACTCATCTGATCGGATTTGTGATATCAAAATTCCTTTTGCCTTTTTGAGTGTGTGAGACAAGTTACTTCAGGTTTTTCATCAAACTCGAATGTAACTTAAAGAATGTGACAGACTTGGAAAGCTACTTGTCTCTGTGTAGGGTTTTGTAGGAAACATATTTTTAATGTTTGTTGTTTGTATGTTTGTATGTTTTTAAGTATTTTTTTTAAATGATAAAATGTTATAACACATTGTTGTATATTAAGATAGAAAGTCCTTGGCATAACATAGTCCTGAGATTAAATAAATTAAAAAGTATAGACATATGCCTACAATAGACTTGAATAGTTCTATACTTCAGATAACGTACACATATAATTTTTTTTTTTTTAATTTAAACAATAATTTTATATAACTGTTGTTTACAGCTTGGAAACAGCATTTTTGTCTATAAGCATTATGTACATTTTGTGTACATAAACACTGGTGAAATTATGCAAACTCAGTTCTTCCAAATTTTATCTTCCAATACATTTTTTAAAATGGAATGGAAGGACTGTATTCAATGAATATCATTTCACTGTTCCTGTAAAGTTGCTTTAGTACTTTCTCAAATATCCCATTTTAAACCAAATAGATTTCTATTTACGCTAATATTTTTATACATTTCCACAACAAATTTCTGTGAACCAAGAAATTGGTTTTATGCTATGACTTTGAAATACAGTTTCTAAATAAAGTCCTGTATGCTTTTTCTTGATGCAAGATCATTGTATATTTATGTAAAATACAAATATATTGTGAAGCTAACGCTATGTTGGCATAAAACCATTCTTAAATTTTTCCCTGTTGAGAGTATATGATTTGTTTTAGTATGAACTATTGAAGAAAATATGATTTCTATGCATACAGAAGGCACAATTACTGGCAATCTTTGTGAGAAAAACAAAAGTTTCTCTGTGCTGGGGCGACAGTTTGTCAATGAGGAGAGCCACTGTCCTCTCTCTGTTGAGATGGAAAAGAAGGAGGCAGACGTCAGGCGGGCATTTCAGATTCCAGAGCAGGCACAGCTGTAAGAGATACACAGCTCTGCTCTCAAGATAAAAAGCTAATGAATTTTAATGAGTCATTGTGTTGCATGTGGGAGTTCAATTGAGAGACCCTTCAAGTTTTTGGAAGTATGACTGTAATTTGGATGTTTATGGCATGTTTTCTACAAAAGGATTAACTAAATTTTTACCTTCCTGCATTTTAAAGGTGCATTGTGCAACTTTTGGTGCAGGCTTCAAAGTATGACATTAAACTCATCTAGTATTTATTCACTTACAGCTGCTTTTATTTCTAAATAAATGGCTGAGTCGCTATCACTCAAGCTTCACAGCAATACGGTTTTGGGTTTAATCTAGGTTCGCACGGGCCTTTCTGTGCAGAGTTTGCATGTTTTTTCCCATATCTGGGTGGGTACTCCAGGCACTCCCGTTTTGCATCATGCAGCATAAACCATGCACCATAGGTCAAATCCTTCAGCTAAGACAGACCTGACCAAGACTAGCAACAAGATCACGAAGATGGCCCCCAAGCATTGCATCGTGGTGCCCACTTCTGAGACCAGTGGCATTCAAGGATGGGTCAAATGCAGAGGACAAAATTCCCCATGGGGATGAGTGAATTTTGTATGCATTATTTATTTGAGTGGAGTCGCCTCTTCACAGATCTGACCCGTTACTTGGCCTGGTGGCGTCACATGCTTGTCACAATGGTCAGTGGAAATGGAGGTTTTTATTGTAGAAGATTCTGGACACATCAATAACATCTCCATGAATATAAACAGGTGGGGGTCTAGGGGACCTTCCACCAGAAAGGCTAGTATAGTCAACCTTTAACTTATAGAAATGGGAAAATAAAGTGTGCAAAAAATGCAAAGGAGGTTCACCTAATAAAACCCTGTTCCTTTGGTTTTAAAACGGGTAACTTTAATTAGAGGTCGCTGCAATCCTTCACTTTCACATATAAACTGAAACCACCTGTGAGTAGGCTACATTCTTTGTCTTTATTTAACTCACAGATGACCTGTAAGATAAAGAAATAAGACAATGCTGAACATTTTAGGAGTTTGAAAAGAGTCAGTTTGAGTTTTCTCCAAACACACCTGACTCCTGACATGTAGGCCGAGTTCAAGAGTTGTCAGACCAGTTCTGCCAAGATTATTCAAGAGATCATTTCCCCAAATCACATCTTTGTATTGTCGGAAACAAAGGTTAATGTCCAGACAAGGGTGACCAGAAGAAAGAGAAATAAAAAGGTCCCGCTGTATAGACAGACAATAGTTGAGTGAGATATACTGCCTCGTCGCCTTCCTTTCCCAGTGTCTCTTTCAGCACGTGGCCAACATTGGCTTTGCAGTGTCATCTTACTACTTTTCCATTGTCAGATTACACCTTCAGACAGACATTGCTGCTCTGAAGCCAATGCTGTTGTAGGCTATATCATTTATAAAACTATAATGTATTTATATGTGTAACTGGGTGGGGATTATACCTGATTTATTTTAGGTTAATTTTGCATAAAAGGCAATTTGAACAAACTTTTTGGCACCAAATGTAGCCCTAGGCAAAACATGCATGTCCTCTGACCTTTGCTGAAAGATTAAAAATGGTATAGCTCAGTAAGTGTCTTGCCCTCAGTTCATACAAGTTACAGCCCATAGGGAAACATATAATGGAATGGCTACACATAGTAGTGTGTAGCGTTTTGGTCTTGCTGATTTATCGGCCTTTTACAGTGTTTACATCAAAAGTGAA